GACTCCGAAGATGTTGTTAAGCTACAACAGTATTCCAATATCCTAGCAGCATCTGACTGGTATCCTCGTCCAACTGTAACGTCTGCTGCCGTTCCTTCACACCTCAGTTCAGTATTCTCAAATTCAATTGCCTTCGACAATGTTTTTGCAATGCAGTTTAAGGCTGACTTTACTTCCTCAACTAGAGGAAAAATCACATTGTTCCTTTTAAAGACTCCAAATAGTCCCTCAACCACATGCAACAGCACATCTCCTTGAACGGCAAGAAAATAATTATTATAGTCATCACGCGGTTTCTCAGATGAAATTGTGCGACCAGAAGCAGGAACTGTGGATGCTTGAAGAGCCGTAACCAATGTAAACAGGAGTTGGTCATTAACGTCCCTTCCCTCTATATGCTGTGCAATCACTAAAACTCCTTCAACCACAGCAGTAAATACATTTACTGCTTCGTTTTTTACTTCACATTCTGCAGTCGCATTTTCAATGGAGGTACTTTGTGCAGAACGCCGAGTTGCACCTGCCCCTCCGCCAAGCAATTTAGAAAAAAAATCGCCAGTACGACCGGATGTGCTCTCAGGTATGCTTATCTCAGGCGGCGTGGATGCCAGGGCGGTAGGAATAAGACCTGAATTAAGCAGCACAGTTGCAAACTCCAGTATAGTTATCAATCCTTTGCTCGAAAGCCGAGTCCCGCAATTCTCCACAAGAACTAACTGGGTAGCAAAACCCAAACGACTGAGCAAACGCTCCTCAAAGCCCTCATTATTCTTGTCGACCTCTGAGGAAGTTTCTCCATTGGTCTCATGTACGTTTTGGCCAGATTCTTTTCTCACAATGGACCCAATCTCAGCAAGATCTTTTGCTATTACATTAAGTAAAAAGCGCCTTCGTCCGTTTCGCTCCTCAGTCAACGCCTTACCACACGCAGCTGTAACTTCCTCATACCTCCAAAACATTGTATCACGCTAGCCGTATGAAAAAAAAAACAAAAAAAAGGCAGCCGAACCAACGTCAGAGCAACACAGAAAGAAATAAAGAGATGGAAGCGATTGCTCGAGTGCATCACTCGCCCCGCAGTAAACCCAGACCACTATCTTTCCACTTTAAACGCACTAAAAAAAGAGAACGCCCCCCCTCTAGAAGCCCGGGCGCAAAACAAAGAAAAAAAAAACGTCAGGTCAAGGAAAATGTGAAAGCAGAGCCCCACAGCCAAGAACGGACACCTAGAAAAAAAAAAAAAACACGATAAAGCACGGGGCC